AGATGAAGTTTACATTTATCTACCCGCAGATTTTACTTTCTTCATTTTATTTGAAGATGTGTGTTACACATTTGATAGATTTGACAATAACCTTTAGCTTTCTTTATTCTTCTGTAGATTACGCTGTAGCAGTATTTCATGAGGGATTGTTAAACAAAAAATACGAGTGTTACTTGGAGCCTCACACAAGACTGCCAATGATATACATCAAGGACTGTCTATCGGCGCTTTTCCAGTTTTTGAATACACCTGAAAAATTACTGCGTAGACGTGTTTACAATGTTACAGCCATGAGTTTCACACCTGAAGAATTGTTCAATGAACTCTTCAAATATATACCGGATTTGAAAATTACTTATAAACCCGACAAACGACAGCATATTGGTATGTATGTCTACGGTAATATATGTCTCTGGCAAAAATAAAAATTAGAGCGTAAGTCGAATGTAAAGAGAGAGTGACAGAAGCGTAAACGAAGCTTCTAGGAGGTGAAACTTGGGACAACAAAATATAAAAGAGATGTTATTTTCGCCAGAAGTATTTTGTACATATACCATAATTCGATTATGAACAAATATTTAAATTATAAATTTTGTTATTACGTTGATTTTAGCGGAAAGCTGGCCACAAGTTTTCGACGATAGCGAAGCACGACGGGATTGGGGATGGCAGCATAAATATGATCTACAGAGGCTAGTGGAATTAATGGTGGAGGACGTTAATACGAATTTTCTATCAAAACATCGGCTGAAAGAAGTCAACAGCTACGTATAAATTGTGTAAAAATGATACATAATTGACTTCTTTCAATTGATGTATGTTTTCGTGTTATAAATTCAATACACTCGATTCCTTGTAGTTCTTCAAGTGTAAAAAGTCAATAATTAATTTTATTATAAAAATAATTCATTTGCATTTTCATACATGAATTATACACAGAATAGCAATAAGGTATACCAGATAACTCAAGAATCGGATAAAAATACAGGTTTTCGATTACAAAGCTTTTTAAATATAATTGAATGTTCGAAATTGTTTCGGGAATGAATAAAGGAGAGCATTTTGAAATTTTAAATAGCAGCTTATTAAAACGTAGTTAGTTGGATTTTATGCTAAAAATTATTAAATTTTTATTTGAAACATTTTTTTCTGTAAATAGTCGTAATAATTAAAAGTTATGGATCATGAAAGTTAGAGATCTAAAAATTGGTATTATGTACATATAAGCAGTATTTATAAAAAAATTTTGACTTAGTAAACTACTATTGATATTGGATAAATAGGATAACAAACATTTGGAAAAATTTTGTGAATTAAATATAAAAAATATAAATAGATTTATAGAAAGACAATGTTTTGTTAACTCTGATCCATATCTATATCCATAAATTCTGTAAAATCATCGTCATTCAGCATTTCTGCGATGTTTACTGGCGTCATTTTATTTCTTTTTGGTGTTTCATAATTAATTTTTCGATCTTTGCTCAGAGGTGTGTCGACCGTATCTTTATTTCTTGTTGGTGTAGCATATCTATCATTTCTCTTTGGAGTTCCAGAAAATTCCGTATTTCTAGAAGGTGTAGGATATTTATCACTTCTCCTTGAAGATAGGCTTCCAACCGTAGGAGTTCCAACCGTACTTTGAGAGAACTTGTCTTTGTTATCTATATCTGCAAATAAAACACATGCATAAATGTTATATATACAATACGAATACTAAAAAGTTATTTTTTAATTTTCTTTTTTTTTTTTACCTTTACCATCGTCTTCGGTTAAAATTGCACGACTTTCAGCAAAGTATGCATTTGGATGTAAAAGTGGTTTATTTGCTGGTTTATTGTGCATGACTTCAAAATACTTGGCACAAGCTAAGTGATATTGTCCATCCTTAGCAAAGTCCAATATTTCAGTCATATCTACAATAAATTAATATAAGATTGAATATAAAAGAACAATCCTGATTTTTTTACAATAGTGACAAAATCAATAATCTTACTAGAGGCGAATACACCGCAACTAGTTAATTTTTGATAAAGCGAATCGCGATCCATATGTCTGAACGGACATCCATGATATTCTCCAGGCCCAACAGAACTAGATATAATTTTTTGACAACCATATGGAGTGTAATTTGTCTGCTTTCCCTCTTTACCGAAATAGTGCCTAACAGAGTACGCATATTTTTTTTCAAATGCAACCCCATCTGTCTTTTTTGAGAATGCATCTCTCCAAAAACGAAGAGCATCTTCTACAGTCACACCTATACCTTTTAGGAATAACCCATATTGCATGCGCCCTGAATTTCTTAAATGGCTATTGGTACAGAGTGCTTCATGAAGTGTTCTCATACATAATGGATACGATATTTTTGATAACTAAAAATTTTTAAACAGATTTTAAATGTGACAAGATTAAAAAAATAAAATTCTTAACTAAAATAATAATTGATTTACATCATTTAGTTTATCAATAGGTGTGGCTATAGTTGACCATACGACACGCGCCATTCCAGAGAAGGCTGAAGGAAGACCTGTTAAATATTTAGTCAATCTCTCGTCATCAGAAATATTATCATACAGAATTTTTGCACTCTGCAAAATATAAAAAATATTAATTGAATAAAATTTAATTTTACTTTAAAACTAATAAAGGCTATGTTCTAATTCTACCTCTAATCCTGTAACTAAGTTTTCTTTAAGATAGGAGACAAACACAGAACTTAGATCCATATGAGTGATGTATGCCATCCCTGCTTTGAGATATACTTTACGTCCTCTCATCAAATCACAGACTTTCTCAAAAGGTACTTTATAAATATCAGCAATATCAATATTCGTAACTTTTCCACATGACAAAGTAAGCTCTTCTTTCATTTCAAATTTTTCATCTTGCGAAATCTGAAAAAACATTAATGATCATCAGATTACAATATACGTTACCTTTTAATATCTCTTATTAAAATATAATAAAACATACAAGTATACAATCCATGTTGCTAATACTTAACAGACGCTCAATGCCCTTCTTATCCAACGAGCTAAATCTTAATTTGAAGAACTCAACTTCCTGATTAAGAAACCACTTGGTTTGTTCGACGTTATGGCAGTACACTAGTCTTAAGATAAAGTGTGATATGTGATCTTTCCTTCTGGACTGTGAATGCTCCTCTGACTGTGGATTGGACCCATCAGCGTATAAGAGATTTGCATAATATTTCAATCCATCAGATTTCAGACAATCGGCGAAAGCTTTCTTGCGATCTTCCTGTATTTTCAGATCGTTTCTGCAATTCGTTGTCTCTACCAACCGTAACACTGCAATAAAGTCGATCATGATTACAATATATATAATGGATAGTTTTCAGCAAGAAACACAATGTAATGCAGAATGTTTTTCATTTAGTGATACAAATTGACATAAATATCATTCTATCTTTTTTGACATTCAATAAGTAACAAAGACAGAACGATATTTATGTAGACTTGTATCATTAAAAAGAAAATATCCATGATTATTTCATGTTTAACATCAACAAATTACAAGAATGTACACTATGTCATCTGTATCTTTTGCCGGACAAAACGCCTAATACCAATGACTGAATACAAAGGCATAGAAGAGAAGGCTACCTTTCAGTCTATCAAATCCCAGCTCTTGAAATTCTTCCAGCGATATTTCACCGACCGGTGGCACATCGTACATTTGTATGTCGTGGGGATAATCATTGTTGACATCATTCACATCCGCAACGGCCGTGTAACGCCGACGTGCCTTATAATCCATTCTCGAGCTTACGGTAGTTTACTTGTAATTGCACAGTGGAAGGTAAACATAAATTAAGCACATATGAAAAACTGTGCGTTAGGTCGTATCTACAAACAATAGCATATGATATATTTCGATTTTGATGACGTTATTAACGTTTACTTACGACAAATAACAGAAAGGATGAAGAAATAAGACATCAGATAAAAATCATTCTTACGTGCAGCTCTACGCCATGATACTAACCAGCTGATGCTTTCCCGCCTTTTCTCCCCGCCATGTGGCACGTCATTCAAACGTCATTCATAATAAAATAGAGAAAATATTTGAAAAAAAATCAACCGATTATTTTTCTTGAATTTTTTTATTCTTGAAAGAAATTGTAATTTAAAAATATTAGCAGAGAGAAACCTGAGAGAGGACATAACGGCCCAAAACTTGTAGCCGTAAAATGCTGCCGCGCTACTACTACTGCCCTCTGAATAAATGGATGTTAACTACACAATAATATATCCTCGCTCAGGTTTCTCTCTGCCGTCGATATAATTTCGTTAAGTTCATTTTCCAATGCCGCACATATTATACAAAAAACCGAATGTTTTCATTTCATACACAAGTGAGCGTAATGATTATTATCATATTTAATATCTAACAATAAAATAAAACTCAGTGGAGTTGTACTGCTGTATTAATATTTTGATTTAAAATTTTACTATAAAACTTTAATTAATAAGTTAATTTAATTAATATTTCTATACTTGCGCGGTGTTTAAATGATTCACAATTTATAATTGCTTATTATTTTATAAGTTCGATTTTTCTTTCATATAATTTTTTCGATAATCTTCATTAACTTATATTGTAATTAGTTTTTAATTTGTGAAAAGAATATAATTTCTTGCCCATATTCAAAACACTCTTTTATGTTTGAAATTTTACAGTATACGTAACGTAAATTATGTATTAAGTACATGCTAACATTGTAAAAGCGCTTGCCGAATGCGCGTACAGGTTTCTCTACCTTCATAAAACGCACGGCCACAAATTCCGAGAAAGACTGAAATTTTTTACACGTAGCGTTTATATATCAAATTCGAAAGCTAACGCGGACCAATAAGAATTCGCAGCGAGGCATCGCGCTCTCATTGGCTGGCATGCGAGTGGTGGGGGTCACCATTTGACGGTCCCTATAAATAGCGCGTAGTTCACTCTCTCGCAGTTTTGTGACTCGAGCAGCGGACGGAGTATGTCCTGTCATTTTAACGTTGAAACAGTTCGCACTGTTCGCAGCCGTCTTCGAGTAGACTTCAGATTCTAATCCCTGCTGAATATAAAACGACATTGGAAAAGTTCGCGGCGGCCCTGTCTTCGAATTGATGTAATTTTTTCTCCATATTCTATTCTGCTGAATATAAAACAACGAGAAACGGCACGAAAGGATCGTTCATCGTTGGATTTCTTTACTAAGGTGATCAATAATTAATTTTGCCTTTATTTCTCATAACAGTGTAAATATCGCATAATACAGGGTTTAGTATAGTACTAGCACACTAATTATTCGGTTGAAAATATGTGGCGTCATGTCGTGTCGTCGCGTCTCTTTTTTCGCGTGAAGTTAGCCGCACACGGAAAACAAATG